AGGATGAGTTCACCCCAAAACCCCAAAACCCCAAAACCCCAAAAGCCACTCAAAAAGAGAGTCAAGCAATATCAATAAAAAGTATAATTCTTATTAGCAAAACAAAAATTAAATTTGCCATTATTTTAACCATGACTCAAGTAATATAATCCGAGAGGCAAATGGACTTAACTCAGCGAATATGTGAATTTTCCTTGCTAATTATATAAAATAGAGTGAGAAATTAATATCTAGACTGAAATAAGAAGATTTATCGAATGATAAGTGGTATATCATTAACTGATAATTCTCTGATAAAAAAATCAAAAAATGTAACAAATCTTCCGCCAATATTAGAGAAATAGATAATTCCTATCATTCTACTCAATAGCCTTTTATCAGATCCTAAATTTGTCTAGAAAATAGTATTATCATTGTAATAGTTACTCATCGTTCTCTGATTTCTATAAAACAGATGGGGCTAATGAATACGTTAAATTGACTCGAATGGTCGGAAAATTTCGAATAGTAAATTGCGGATAAGAATCTTTGAATGAATTTTAACTTATAGTAGCAATATCTTGCTCGTATTTATTAAAGGTTATGACAATCATTACTATTATTTTTGACAAATTTAAACAACTGCGGGTAAAGACTTCAACACCTAATTATGAGTCTCCAAAGTTCTTTGATAGATAGAATTGAAATTTACGAACAATAAAATGCTACCTTAGCATTATCTTCCCTCATTGATAATTTACAAAAAGAAAATGTATCATTTACTTCAATTATCATATTTCCTATATAGATAATACCAATCCAGCCATAATTTCTTGCAAATATTCAGAATAATAGTATTTCCTCAGCTAATCGTCATGAGCTCTTCTTGTGGATGCTTCAGGTATTCATAACCTATTATTAAAAAACAATAGAAGTCATCTCAATGCTAGCTCAGGGTAGAAACTCTACAGAGAGCTTTCACCTATGTCGATATTACTTTATCTTCAATACAAACTCCTTCTGATGCACTCTATTTAATTGGGATTTCATCATTATTGATAGCTGCCAAGGTAATAAATTTCTAAATTAATAATATTTATAGCTTGATGAATCCAGAAATCTCTCTTAATAAATGGAACTTGAAATAATGAATAATTTCGCCATGTTCCTCAAAATGGACCCCATGAATACTATTTCTAGTGGGGAAATAATAAAATGCGAAAGTGTCATCCTCCAATTTTGCTGCTGGAGGCCCCTAGTCCCCTGTGCGACTGAGATACTAAAATTGATACTTTTTGTTTGCAATTCTTCTCAGGACTTTACTGATATCATCGAGAAGACTAATGAACTAATTTTTTCAGCCTTACTATCTTATGAGATGTGCTGCTTCAGATATTCCTCAATTGCTTTATCTAGCCTAATGCTAGTCTTAGAACAATACGACTTCTAACAATTTTAAGATGGAATGATGTCATTAATAGAGGAACACAAAATTCCATTTGACATTGCTTAAGTCGAATAATGTAAAGAAGCAATCATTCACTTGCTAACTTCGGAAGAAGCTAGCTAATAACAGGGTGAAATAATGCCTCAACCACTAAATGTAACCGAAATACCACTAGAGTAGTATTAGTTAGATTAAAATTCACTAGCTAATCAGCAACTATCTTAGATAATTTCAACCTAATTCGAAACATAGCATATAAAAACCCCTGCTAAACAATAGTAGATGACTGAGGAGCAAGATTTTTCAGTGAAGGAGACTTAGGAGAGCGAAAACTCTTCATTTAAGTTCGACCTGAACACTACATCCTTCTTAGAAAATATGCAACAGGAATAGTTTTCCTCGTTTTTAGAAGAAAGTGATTTTGATAATGAGGAAAGTAAAGATTCCAAAAAAACTAAAAATATCAAGAAGCTAAAAAGGAAAGGCTCTCTAAAGAAGAATAAATTGTCTTTCAGAAAGGCAACACGTCAGTTGGTGTACACAAACCCCATTAGTTCAAGTCACCAACCAATCAATTTTACAGAAACTGAATAAAATGGAATGATCAATACCGATAATACTGAGAACATGATGATGATTGAACTAGGCCAAAATCACCGTGCAGGTCGCTAATCATCAGATCATTTTGTATCATTAGCTTATTTATACAATAACCAAAATCATGGGCTCGGTGAAACTGATATTAGTAACAAAGTCAGCACCGATTTATTATTGGATCAGTGGATTCAAGAGCAAATTAGGAACGAGGACTCAAACACCTCCAATAAGAGAGTTAATCACTTCTCTTCTTCTCTCTAATGATTATGCCTCTACTCCTATATTGTACTATACTAGCATATTACAGTTAAGCTTTAGGCTCATCAGAAAATAATCATTAGAGAATGGCCCTTTATCTACAGATGTAATTTAAAAATATGGCTTGGGGAGAGATTGTCTCGATCTCTAAGTCATTTAATAAATGATGAAGCTTTAAAGCTTAATTGTGTATGTTTTAAATTAATGGCTATTAAGATTTATAAAAATGCTAAATATCATAGGACCTTACTTACCTAATCAAAAACTGACAGGGGTTTTGGGGTTTTGGGGTTTTGGGGT